CAGAGGAGGCTCCACCAGAGGGAGGAGCTCCACCACCAGGGAAGCCTCCAGGCATTCCTCCTGGCATGCCCCCTGCACTCTGGTACAGCTTGGTGATGATGGGGTTGCAGACTTTCTCCAACTCTTTCTGCTGATGTTCAAATTCTTCCTTCTCTGCAGTCTGGTTCTTATCAAGCCAGTTGATGATTTCATTGCACTTTTCAAGAATCTTCTGTTTGTCTTCATCATTTATCTTGCCCTGAAGTTTTTCATCTTCAACAGTTGCTTTCATGTTGAATGCATAAGACTCAAGTGAATTCTTGGAAGACACCTTGTCCCGCTGTTTCTCATCTTCAGCTTTGTACTTCTCAGCTTCCTGGACCATGTGCTCAATATCTTCCTTGCTCAAGCGGCCCTTGTCATTAGTGATGGTAATCTTGTTCTCTTTTCCTGTGCTCTTATCCACGGCAGAGACATTGAGGATACCATTAGCATCAATATCGAAAGTGACCTCAATCTGAGGGACACCACGAGGAGCAGGAGGTATGCCTGTGAGTTCAAACTTTCCAAGTAGGTTGTTGTCCTTGGTCATGGCACGCTCACCTTCATACACCTGAATAAGCACACCAGGCTGGTTGTCAGAGTAGGTAGTGAAGGTCTGTGTCTGTTTGGTAGGAATGGTAGTATTACACTTGATGAGAACAGTCATGACTCCTCCAGCAGTTTCAATGCCAAGAGAAAGTGGAGTGACATCCAGCAGCAGCAAATCTTGAACATTTTCAGATTTGTCTCCAGAAAGGATAGCTGCTTGGACAGCTGCACCATAAGCAACAGCCTCGTCAGGGTTGATGCTCTTATTCAGTTCTTTTCCATTGAAGAAATCTTGGAGAAGTTTCTGAATTTTGGGGATACGGGTAGAACCACCCACCAGGACAATATCGTGGATCTGAGACTTGTCTAACTTGGCATCTCGAAGGGCTTTCTCTACAGGGTCCAGGGTGCCACGGAACAGGTCAGCATTTAATTCTTCAAACCGGGCACGAGTGATAGAGGTATAGAAGTCGATTCCTTCATACAGAGAATCAATCTCGATACTGGCCTGGGTGCTGGAGGAAAGTGTACGCTTAGCACGTTCACAAGCAGTACGGAGGCGACGAACTGCCCTCTTGTTTTCACTGATATCTTTCTTATGTTTGCGCTTGAACTCTGCAATAAAATGGTTGACCATTCGGTTGTCAAAATCTTCTCCACCTAAGTGGGTGTCTCCAGCTGTGGACTTAACCTCAAAGATCCCATCTTCAGTAGTAAGGATGGACACATCGAAAGTGCCGCCTCCCAAGTCAAATATCAGCACATTCCTTTCAGCTCCAACTTTCTTGTCTAGGCCATAAGCAATAGCAGCAGCAGTTGGCTCATTGATGATGCGAAGCACATTGAGACCAGCAATAGTTCCAGCATCTTTGGTAGCCTGACGCTGAGAATCATTGAAGTACGCAGGTACTGTGACAACTGCATTGGTAACGGTCTTCCCAAGATAAGCCTCTGCGATTTCCTTCATTTTCGTCAAAACCATAGAAGACACCTCCTCTGGATAAAAGCTTTTTGTCTCTCCCTTGTATTCTACTTGGACCTTGGGCCTGCCAGCATCATTCACCACCATGAAAGGCCAATGCTTCATATCAGACTGGACAACAGCATCATCAAATCTCCGTCCAATCAGGCGTTTGGCATCAAAAACTGTGTTGGTGGGGTACATCACAACTTGGTTCTTCGCAGCATCACCGATCAATCGTTCGGTGTCCGTAAAGGTGACATAACTTGGGGTGGTCCGGTTTCCCTGATCATTGGCAATTATTTCCACTTTCCTGTGCTGGAAGACACCCACGCAGGAGTAGGTGGTGCCAAGATCAATGCCAACTGCAGGTCCCTTAGACATGGTTGCTTATGTGTGGGCCTGGCTCAGGCTGAGAAAACAGCAATCCAAAGATGTAGCCCCGCATTCAATGAGCTAGGCTGGCTATCTTGACACATTATATTTCATAAGGTATTCAAGGGAAGAACACATTTAGAAAGGTCTTTTTTTATTAGTTGTAATTGTCAGCATATAGATACTTTACATGTTTTGTTAGATTTATACCTAGATATTTAAATATTTTTGAGGGATTGTAAATGGTCATAAATTTAAAATATTGATGTTCAGTATTGGATCTTAATTTTTTCAGTTTATAAAATATTTACATTTTTAAAGCAAGTGTAAATATTCGTCTATTTTCTTTAATATTATTGCTATTAAGACCTGTTTTAGGCACATGAAATATAGATAAAAAAATAAAACAAACACCATGAAATGGTATCATGATATGAAGTTTTAAATTATAACACAGTTGGATTTACCGCTATTTTTTCTTAAGATACATCTTTTCTGTTTCTTTAAACATGAAACCTTACATGCCTCGGTGTCCTAAAAGTATTTTCCTGTATTTTCTTCCAGTACCACAGTTAAGATAATGAACATGCCCCCCACATATTTTCTTGTGCCTTTTTGTAATCCCTTTCTTTTGCTTTTCCCTGATATTCTTCACTACTTTCCCCTTCTCCCTCTTCCCAGGCAACCCTTGATTTATTACTATTCTTTTCTATTGCTGTAATTAGTGTATATTTTCTAGAATTTTATATATATATGAAATCATATTTACTTTTTTTGGTCTAGCTCTTAGTGGGGTAGTATATAATTAGTCGCTGAGATTGTAGGATCTGGAGACAGACCAGTTAATCTTAAATTCCTACTCTATTGCTTATTTATATCTGTCTTTCCCTAAGTCTCAGTTTCCCAGGTTGCCATGGGAAAGTGCAGTTGTCCACTGGGAGAATGCAAGTGAGGAAGATACAATGCTTGAAGACAGAATTGGGAGGATTTTTAATATACTATATATAGCGTTGGCAAGCATATACATGACCATATGCAGAAAGGTTCAGAAATCTAAGGGTAGAATGAAGAAAACCATTTAATTTAGAAGTAAAGATTTATAAAATAAGTATGACTAAAATAGAAAGGAGATGATAAGACACTGTGTTGGAAAGGATTGCTCAGGCTGGGAGAAAAGACAAACCAGAATAGGGATGAATGATGAAAAAGAGATGATAGATGAGAGGTAATGCTATGCACAAAGAGTAGTTTTATTTAGTAGGTATAGAAGAAAGAAAATGGTGGTTTCAGAAATAAGAATTTAAATGTTTGGAAATTTTTAGGTGGACCTTTCCAGAATATAACAAGGTTACCATATATCGTTTATTAGAATAGAGAAAAGTCAGAAGTGGAAAGTATTTATTGAGGGGGCATGGTAGAACTTGTGGTAAAGAATTATAAATGGAACTTACAAAGATTACTTCCCCAATATCTGGTTTGGTGGGACGAATGGTATTGAAATGGTTGATAGAAGTGTAGTTTAGCAGAATGAAACCTGGTTTATTTACATGTTTTTCCTTTCCAGCATAGTCCAAGATAATTTGTAAGTACATAATGATTTAACTATAGAGTCTCAAGTGAGACTAGTCTTGTAGGAAAATTTTCCATAGTACTTAGCAGTGGGTACTACCATACACACAGTATTGGTTCTTAGATATCTTAAAGCTTAGATGTAATATTAGATTTTCCCTGAGAATTTTGGTGTACTCTAAATGTGAGTCATTACCCATGTTACCTGTTTTTTCTTTGTGGGTTGGTTAATCTACAGACAGCCAGGAAATATAATATAGGACAAGTTCAAGATTAAGGATGTTTTATAGAAATATACTTGTATCTTAGATTTGCACTTTCAGTGTTACAGCCACCAGCCATATGTGACTATGGAGCACTTGAAATATAGTAATCCAAATTGAGATATGATGTAAATATAAAAATTAGAATATGCATTGGACTTTTAAGACTTAGTATGAAACAAAGAATATAAAATAAAATATTTAATTGATTATTTATAATATGGATTACAGGTTTGAAATGATAGTATTTTAGATAGATGAAATAAGTTGTATTATTAAAATTGTATCTGTTTCTTTCTTATTTTTTAATATAGCTCCTAAAAGTTTAAAATTTCATATGTGGTTTATGTATGACTCACATTATATTTCTATTGAAAAACATTGTCTTAAGATGAAAGAAATCCACCTCTCTGTTTTGTTATAATTGTATAACTGTTTGCTGAATTGTAAATCCTTAGTGGAAAAGCAAAAAAAAAAAAAAAACCCCAAAAACAAAAACCCAAAACAAATTTGATGTATGAGTATGCTTAATGAAATTTGCTTCTAATGGATTTAAAAATAAGTACTGTCATTAGACTTACTTGATTTCATTAGATTTCTAATTATTTAAACATTCTATTTAGTCAAAGCTGTTATTAAACTTGGAGGATAGAGTTTACTGATGCCAGAGTTAGCTAACTAGTCTCTGGGCCTGAAAGTGGACCTTTGCTTTCCTTTGCATGATGTCACAGTGCATTATGGGATTGTTGGTCTCAAAAGCATCATATTCTACCTCTAGTTTCTATTATGTGATACAGTGAGTGTCATGCTTGATGATGTTTATGGTTTTCTTTCTAATTTTAGATTTTCTTAATCAGTGTAGCATCACTGGGAACTTGTTAGAAAAATTAATTCTTGAGCCCCAAACCCACTGAATCAGAACTCTGGTGGCTGGGCCTGGGAATCTGTTTAAAGCCTCCAGTAGAAGTGGCAAAACTCAGTTTCTTTATGACAGTTCTCAATTTTGTCTCTTGATTCAGATCTATTTATCCTGGTATCATGGTATATTTAACTAATGTAAATTTTATTTTTATTACAAAAGTGCTCATAGGTTTTAGGATTTAATTTCTAAATAGCTATATTTATATTTCGAGTGGCATTTTATCTGATTCTAATGAAAGTTTACTATATAAGTATCATTTGGGCAACTATACACAAGTATTTGGAAGAATTGCATTCCTTTCTTTTCATTTAATCAATTGTAAAAAATGTCACATTCTTAGGTGGATGCTCTCCGATTGCGTTTGGAAGAGAAGGAAACTATGTTGAATAAGAAGACAAAACAAATTCAGGATATGGCTGAGGAGAAGGGGACACAAGCAGGAGAGATACATGACCTCAAGGACATGCTGGATGTTAAAGAGAGGAAGGTTAATGTTCTTCAGAAGAAGGTAAAGTGTGGTGTTTTTTGGAATAGTTTGAGAAGAATACATATTAACTCTTCTTTAAATATTTGGTAGAATTCCCCTGTGAAGCCATCTGGTCCTGGACTTTTGTTTGTTGGGAGATTTTTGATTACTAGTTCAGTTTCTTTGCTGGTAGTTGGTCTGCTCAAGTTTCCTGTTTCTCCCTGTTTCAGTTTTGATAATTTAAAATCCTGAAATTTATTCATTTCTTCTAGGTTGTCCAGTTTGTTGGCATATCGTTTTCAGTAATATTCCTGTATAATTGTTTGTATTTTTGTGATGTTGTATTTCTCCTCTCTCATTTGTGATTTTATTTATTTGGGTCCTTTCTCTTTTCTTTTTGATAAGTCTGGCCTTACCAGTTTTATTAATTTTTTCAAAGAATCAGCTCTTCTTGGTTTCACTGACCTGTTCTTTTTTTTTTTTTTTTTTTTTAAGTTTCTATATCATTTTATTTCTGCTCTAATCTTTATTATTTCCTTCCTTTTGCTGGCCGTAGGCTTTGTTTATTGGTCTTTTTCTAGTTCCTTTAGGTGTGAGTTTAGGTTGTTTATTTGAAGTTTCTTTTGCTTCTTGAGATAGGCCTGTACTGCGATAAACTTTACTCTTAGAACTGTTTTTGCTGCATCCCAGAAGTTTTGGACCATTGTGTTTTCATTTTCATTTGTTTCCATGTGCTTTTTAATATCTTCTTGATTTCTTAGTTGACTCATTCATTATTTAGTAGCATGTTGTTTAACCTCCAGGTCTTTGTGATCTTTCCAGACTTTCTTGAGGTTGACTTCTTGTTTCATAGTGTTGTGGTTAGAAAAGGTACATAGTATAACTTCAGTCATTTTGTATTATTGAGGCCTGTTTTGTGACCTAGTACATGTTCTGTTCTGGAGAATGTTCCATGTGCACTTGAAAAGAATGTGTGTTCTGCTGTCTTAGGATGGAATGTTCTGAATAGATCTGATAAGTCCAGCTGGCCCAATGTGTTATTCAATGCCATGCCTCCTTATTGATTTTCTGCTAAGATGAGCTGTCTGTTCATGTAAGTGGGGCATTAAAATTCCCTATTATTTTGTTACTATCAATTAGTTCCTTTATGTTTGTTACAAATTGTTCTTTATATTTGTGTGCTCCCATGTTGGATACATAAATTCTTACAGTTGTTATATCTTGTTGAATTGTCCCCTTTATTATTATATAGTGTGCTTCTTTGTCTCTTTTTAACAGTCCTTGAAATCTAGCTTGTTTGATAAAGTATTGGTATTCAGCTTCCTTTTGACACCCATTTGTGTGGTAATTGTTTCTCCATCTCCCCTTCACTTTCAGTCTGGATGTGTCTTTAGGCCTAAAAAGAATCTCAGGGCACCTGGATGTCTCAGTTGTTGAGTGTCTGCTTTCGGCTCAGGTCAGGATCCCAGGGTCTTGGAATCGAGCCCCGAGTCGAGCCCTGAATAGAGCCCCGAATCGGGCTCCCTGCTCAGCAGGGAGCCTGCTTCTCCATTCCCTGCTTCCCCTGCTTGTGTTCTCTCTCTTGCTATCTTTCTGTAAAATAAATAAATAAAATCTTTAAAAAACTAAAGTAGGGGTACCTGGGTGGCTCAGTGGGTTAAGCCTCTGCCTTTGGCTCAGGTCATGATCTCAGGGTCCTGGGATTGAGCCCCACATTGGGCTCTCTGCTCAGCGGGGAGCCTGCTTCACCCTCTCTCTCTGCCTGCCTCTGCCTACCTGTGATCTCTCTCTGTCAAATAAATAAATTTTTTAAAAAATCTAAAAAAAAAGATATAAAAAATAAAAAAAAATAAAATTAGTCTCTTTGGGTGTTGTGTTTTTAATTCATTCTGACACTCTCTTTTGATTGGAACATATAATCTATTTACATTCAGAGTAGTTATTGATAGGTATGGATTTATTGCCATTTTATTACTTGTTTTGTGGTTGTTCGTGGAGATTCCCTCTGATACTTTCTTGTCTTTTTCATGTTTTGCTGATTTGCTATAGTGATGTATTTAGATTTCTTTCTCTTTATTTTTTGCAAGTTTATTAGTGGTTTTTGATATGGTTACCATTGGGTTTGTATATAACCTCTACTGCAAATATCAGTGTATATATATATATATATATATATATATATATATATATATACACACACACACACACACACACACACACATATACATATATATACACACGCACGTGTGTGTGTGTGTGTGTGTGTAGACTTAAAAGATTTATTTATTTATTAGAGAGAGATTGTGAGCATGAGGGGTAGGGGCAGAGGGTCAGGGAGAGAGAGAATCTCAAGCAGACTCCCCGCTGAGCATGGAGCCTGATGCAGGGTCCTGATCACAACCTGAGCTGAAATAAGAGTTGGACACACAACCAACTGAGCCACAGAGGCACTCCCAAATATCAGTCTGTATTAAGTTGATTGTCATTCAAGTTTGAACTCATTCTTTCTTCTTCTCCTCCCCATGTTTTAGGTATATGTTATTATATTTATATCCTTTTTATGTGAGTTCCTTGATGGATTTTTAGGGAAGTATTCATTTGTACTGGTTTTGTTTTTCCTACCTTTATACTGTCATTTTTGGTCTCTCCTTTCCACTCAAAGAGTCCCCTTTAATATTTCTTGCATAACTGGTTTAGTGGTCATGAAATCCTTTAGTTTTTGTTTGCCTGGGAAACTCTCTCTCTCCTTCTATTCTGAATAATAGCCTTGTTGGATAGAGTATTCTTGGCTGCAGATTTTTCCCATTTAGCACTTTGAATAGATTGTGTCATTGTCTTCTGGCTTGCTCAGTTTCTGTTGAGAAACCTCCAGCTAGCTTATGGGGTTTTCCCTTGTAAGTTATGACTCCTTTTGTCTTGCTGCCTTAAGACATTTTTTTTTAATCACTGTACTTTACAAATGTAATTATAATATGTCTTGGTGTTAGCCTGCTGTTAATGATTTTGAGGGGAGTTCTCTTTGCCTCCTGGAGCTGGGTGTCTGTTTCCTTTCTCAGATGAAAGAAGTGTTTAGCTATCCATCCATCCATCCATCCATCCATCCTTCCTTGCTTCCTTCCTTCCTCTCTTTTTAAGATTTTAATTTATTTGTTTAACACGAGAGAGAGAGAGTGAGAGCGAGTGCTAACAACCAGGGAGCAGCAGGCAGAGGAAGAAGGAAAAACAAGCTTCCCACTGAGCAAGGAGCCTGATGTGGGGCTTGATCCCAGGACCCTGAGATCATGACCTGGGCCAAATGCAGACTTTAAACTGACTGAGTCATCCAGATGACCCTCAGCTATTATTTCCTGAAGTAAATATTCTGGCCCCTTTTCTCTCTTCTTCTTCTTTTGGGACTTCTATACTATGAATGTTATTATGTTTGATGGAGTCACTGAGTTCCCTAAATCTGTTCTTGTGTGGCATAATTCTTTTATCTCATTTGTTCAGCTTCATTGCTTATCATTACTTTGTATTCTAGGTCATTAATTTGTTCCTCTGCTTCTTCCAGCCTACTGGTCATTCCATCAAGCATGGTTCTAATTTCATTTATTACACTCTTTATCTCTTTTGATTCTTTTTTAATTCTTTTATCTCTGTGGTAAGGGTCTTACTGATGTCTTCTTTTCTCAAGGCCAGTGAGTATCCTTATGATTGGTGCTTTAAATTCTTCATCAGGTATGTTCCTTATGTCTGTTTCACAAAGATCTCTGGCCATGGCCTTATCTTATTCTTTCATTTGTGATAAATTCCTCTGTCTTCACATTTTGTCTAAGTCTCTGCCTTCTTCTGAGTGTTAGAAAAGACAGTTATATATCTTCCTGAAAGTAATGGCTTTATGAAGAAGAGGTCATGTATTTCCCAGGAAGAGACCTGTCAAGGAGTGTTTCCTATGTGTGCTACAGGTGCTCTGCTTTTGTGTTCTGGCTGCTCTGTCCTTCAGGCCAGTCATTTATAGGGGCTTTCCTTGCCTGCTGTGGTCAGTGTTTGGTCCCTGGCCTGAATGTGACAAGTTTTTGCTAGGTGTGCTCTGGTCTGCTTGTGAAATGAGACTTGTCACCATCTCCACCGTAATTGAGGCCCTGTGAAACTTTATGGTCTGGAGACATGGTATGGATGGGGGTTAATCCTGGTTTTCTGGGACAGGGTCCTGCTGCACTGGGACTGAGGCAAGTGTGACTGAGAAGGGCAGTTCCACTAGAGCCCAGTGGGGTAGGGCTTAATGTAAGTAAGTTAAGCAGCCAGTGTGGGTGCTATGCTGCTTCCCACAGTTAGCTCTGTATGTATGCTGAGGGACAGGGGAAGGAAATGGTGTTGGCAAGCTCCATTGTTCCCAGAGATGTGTCTCTGTGAATGCTGCCTCTCAGGGAAGTGCTCTGGGAAGTGTGATCTCCCCACTGTGTACCCCAGATGCTCTTCAGATTGTTGTTTCTGCACTGTCTGCCCTCAGGTTGTTTGCCTGCCATCTCTGAGGAGCAGTGCAGTGCTCTCCAGACTCTATTCCAGCCAAGCCTGCTGACCTTTAAAACTCCAGGCTCTAATCTCCACTGCTTGAAAGAACTCATGAAATATAGCTTCTCTCTTTTTACAATTCAATGACTTTGGAGAAATATTCTCCTTGTGCTTTCCCAAGTGCTCCTTTCTTTCTCTCTCGCCTTTCTCTGACCACACCTTCTTCCCTCTGCAGTACCCAAGATCTGTGTCTCCCCCAAACCATGTTTCTATACTGCCTGCCTTCTCCCATGTGGCCTCTTTTCTCCCTTTAGTTGTAGAGTTTGTTCTGTCAGTCATCAGGTTGATTTCTGGGGTATTTAGGATGATTTGATAGTTATCTAGTTGTGTTTGTGGGACAAAGCGAGACTAGGGTCCTCCTTCTCTGCTGCCATCTTCCTGCTTCATACCCCAAGGTTTAAATTTTTATTTAATTATTGGTTGCTCTAGAATTCCTTTGAAAATTTTTCAAGAAAAATCATAGGTGCTATGTTTCCTAAGTTCCTGCTTAT